TTCTAATAATCTTCATCTTCGAGGCGGGAGTTGGAAATAGAAGTAGCACCATCGATCAACAACTCACCTGTATTGAAAAATAAAAGTTAAAACATAAAAATTTAACTTGAAAAATTTAACACAAATAGTATTAATAATACCTTCATCATCAGACTCCATTTCAGTGAGTAAAATAGCATTTTCATTTCCCACATTAGATTTCAAATTACCTATCAATATAGTAAAATATAGTCAATGATAGTCTTGGCAAGTAAAAATAAAAAATAAAAACAATAAAGGTCTTACCATTATTCTCAACACTCTATAACCAACTTCTTGCACATATCAAAGCTTCTAAAGTGGTCCAATGAAGTCGACTTTGATGAGGGCTTACGATATGATGACTTGTACTAAATGCAGATTCAGAAGCCACAATAGAAACAGGAATTGCCAATACATCTCTTGTAATTTCTTGAAGTGTTGGATACTTAATGCCATTCAACTTCCACCACAATAAAATATCAAAATCTGGACTTCTTGGTAAAACTTCCTCTTCCAAATAAACACCCAACTCCATTTTAACAGATGAATTTCTAGCTCTATTTTTTCTTATGGCATACAAATCATAGTCTTTCAAATCATCATTACTAACATTACCAACATTAGCATCCAACGTTTCAGATTCACTTCTAGAATCCTTGTTCATTTTTAATTAATAATTATAAAGCAACTCGTAACATACCTGTCCGATTGACTTAACTTGGAAATAAACATCATTTCCATAGAAGACTCCATAATAATATTCAAGCAAATCAGTTTTATACCTAAGATCAAAAACAGTGGCAATCCCCATCATTTCATGAACCACACTCCAATATTTTTCAAACTTTACCAACATGTTTTCTTCCATTATTTTTACCAATTCATCAGAGGATTCAATCCACTGAAGTAATGCAACTTTAATCTGACAAATCTTAGGAAAGTATTCATTGGCATTTGGATACTTAGTTCCGGAAAACACTTCAGTGATAGAATTGAACAATTTCAATTTTCCACAAATCTCTTTTGCAAATTTCCAATGTAAATTAGTTGGCAAACAAGTGTACTGAGTTACACGGATTGCTAATCTATTAAATACTTCTTCATACAAAATTGCAACATCAAGCATCTTGTAGGTAGAATTCCATCTAGTTGAAAAATCTAAAACTAAATTCTTGGTGCAGGGTATTTTTAACTGTTTGGATGTCTCCTCAAACCGTTCCTTCCTTTTAGATGTTGCAGTCCAAAATGCAATACTATCTCGAATCCTCTCTACCCATCCTTCACAACTTCTAACCTTTATTTTACTATTAAATTTAGTATATATGCACAACAACACATATGAAGTAAGGCCACATCCCTTAATAATGTCTCTGGTTTCAACTTAGCCTTAATTTTTTCAATTATTGCATCATTTGTGCTACAATTGTCCAAAGTGATAGTAGAAAATTTTGTATCAATGTTCCAATCCATCAAACATTCAACCAATGCACCACAAAGATTTTCACTAGTATGAGGTGCAGGAACATAAATAAACCTAACATAATAAGATTCAAAAAACTAGCATAAATGTGATTTACTTCAAAATGTGATTCACAAAACTATATATAATGAGTAGTCAAGAAACATGTTTGCATTTTCAATTTACAACTAAAAGTGACATTAACAACTAAAAAGCTAATCATTGCAAACTACATTAACAGAAAATCACCAAAGTAATGTGTAGTGAGAATTTTAGATTTACCTCAAAATGTGACTATATAAATTTCAGTTTCCATCAATGTAATGAGAAGTGGCAACCATATATCCTTTTTTTGATTGCTCGAGGTCCAAAGGTCAGAAGTAATGGCCAGTCTTCCTTCAAGATTTGCTAACAACTTCAAAGTTGATGATCTCTCCATATTGTATACTTTGAGTATCTCTTTTTTATAGTATTTCTACAAGGAACTTGAAATATTGGTTGGAGAGAAGTTGAGTATCTTCTAAAACCAATATGATCCACTATTGCAAGCGGATATTCATGCAAAATAATTGCATGTGCAAGCTCTTTTTTAGAATTTTCTACATCATAAATTCAAGTACTCAACTCTTACTTACCTTGCATGGTTCTAGGCATAAGAAATGTTTGTCCCTTATCAGATGATTTCAAAAGCTTCTTTTTCGGACAAGATCCCAAATGTCCTTTTAAATGTGTCTTCCCATCATTTGATGATCCATTAAGCTGCTTTGAGCAATAATTACATTGAGCCTTGTCTTTTCCATCAACTTTAATCTTTGTAAAATGATCCCATACAAAACTTTTATGTCTGGATCGACGACTTACGGTTGTTTGGCTATCAACCCCCGTATTATCATTTGGTGTGAGAGGAGGAGCATCAACTGATTGGTTACCACTTTCATTGGAATCGGTTGATGTGTACTTTCTTGTGAGATAGGGTGGACGTTGTGTTTGATAGATACCATCATTTTCCATAACTAATGATCCTATAAAGTAATTAAGTTGTACATAAGTCTCGCAGTAGAATTTACAAGAATAATTAACTTGAAAAAAAAATATTATTTACTTTTAAAATATGCATAGTCTCTAACAACATTTACAAGAATAATTTACAAGCATTTACATACCATCATTTTAAAATATGCATAGTCTGCTTTACATACCATCATTTACAAGCCTAAAATATCCACTGACTTTTATGCAACATTACTGAAGCAAGAAAAAAAACAAAGATGACATTATTCAGCTTTATTTTTTCATGAAGCACTTTATGAGCCTTTTGTTGAATTGGTTTTCAAGTTTTATTTCCATGCAGAGTGATACTCGTCTTGCATTGTTAATTTCTAATGCTGCTAATAACTTTTGATGTTTAATTTTATGACACATGCTCCTCTAGGTAATCTCAAAGACATCCAGATCACAAAAAAGGAATCCCTTGATGTAGGGACTGTACGTTTTCTGTTTACTAGATTTCTTTGTTTCAGCATCTGTAAACAATGTCATTCAAATTCAAGTCATCCAATTTCAAATACTCTAAAGAGATGATTGAGTTTGTTAGCAGCATGGAAGGAATGATATCTCCATATGGGTTCTATACATACAAAAAAAAACAAATTTATGAGATTATCTGTACAATGCTCAGAAGTAGAAAAAACACAGCTTTCATTATAAATATTTCAATACTACTTCTCTAAAATATCTAACTGTGAAGCCAATTGAATAATAATGAAAATACTACAGTTTGTGCTTAATTTTGGTTTCATTACAATCCCTGCTACATCATTCAATTTGTTGGTTGATTTATCATGAAATTTTAGGAGGTAATTTCAATATTCTTTCTTTTCTTCTCTGTATTTTTAAGATTTTAATTATACATGTTAACAGTTTATACCTTTGGTTTATGTTTTCATAATGAAGTGTGGTCCAGTAAACCATCAGATTATACTTAATAATGCTCATGAATCATGATTTTTGGTATGAAATCAGTTGTCGGTGAGCTGTTAGCTGAGTATAGCAGGATTGCATAAAAATTTCTGCAACTATACTACAGTTCATATTAGAGAGATCTGGAAACATTGATTCGAGCTAATTTTCCCGCACCCGCATCCAATTAAGTCACTTTATTGTTGTTTCATGCATAAACACCACTCACAATTTTGGTCCATTAAAACTATTATTTTGGTCCATTTTTTAAGTTTTCTCACAATTTTTGGTAATGTGTCAATGCCATATCATTTTAATATTAATATAATTATTTTTTTTATTTCAACTAATAAAGTCTTTATTATTTTGGTGTTAAATGTTAAAATTCAAAAACATAAAATCTTCAAATAATTGTCTCACATGAGACTTGAACCTTTGTCTTTCCTCTTTAATTTCAATGTCTTTATCACTAGGCTATGCAAACTCATTTGTTAATTTTCCAAACAACTTTTATATATAGTATACATTTAGAACAGAATTTGACACTCTCACTACATCAGTGACAGGTGCTTCTTAATGTTATATCGTTGTCGCTATCACGTTTGCGCTATATGACGATCCTGAAATAAATCTAGTATGAATCTAAATGTACTATTTGTTGAAATAAATAGCTCAATTTAAATTAACTTTTCCTAATTTATTTCTCATCATAGAAAATATTCCATAAACATTTTCTAAGATCAAGCAAAACACACAAACACAAACACGTAATCATCTAAACGAAATACAAATGAAAGCGGCATTTAAAGAGGAAGGACAAAGGTTCAAGTCTCATGTGAGACAATTATTTGAGAATTTTATGTTTAAGGAAGACCAAAATTCAACAAAAAAAACTTAAGAAATAGACTAAAATAATAATTTTTATAAAAAAAGTTTAAGAAATAGACTAAAATAATAATTTTTATAATAGAGGAATCACAATTAAAAAAAAGATAAACAGGATGACCAAAAAGAAAATTACAAACAATAAAGTTGCAATTAAGCTTAAGATAAATTTCTACAATATGGGATTATACCTGTCACAATAGAAAAGATAACCCACTTGTCACATCTTGATATCGGAGGAAATAACCAACAATATGGTAACATTCCTCGTAGAGTTTAAAAAATGGACTTGAAGTATTTATCACTCGCATTTAATAACTTCTGTGATTTAGTCTCACAATATGACTTCAAGTTGCCAAACTTAGATATGTTATATCTTCAAGAAAGTGGTCTTTCTGGTTCCATGCCAAAAAAAATTCACATGATGAGAAGTTTAATGATTCTTGATATTAGTAGTTGCAATCTCACTGGATCTATTCCTATTTCAATAGGATTGCTCCAGCCTTAGAAGAGTAAGACTAGAACAAAACAACCTATCAGGTAGTAAAGAATATGGTTTTGGTGTGTATCCAAATTTAGACTACATAGATTTGGTTTGAGCCAAAATAAATTTGAAAGGAAACAGTCCTATTGAGTTAGACCAATTAACGGTGATTAAAATTTTGATCTTATTAGTATGAACTATTTTAATGGAACTATACCAACAATGCTTGGACAGTTAAAATTCTTAGAAACGTTGAATTTCTCACATAATAATCTATCCGGTGTTATTCACTTTAGTTATGGTGAGTTGTTAGCCTTGGCAAACGTTGATATATCATACAACCAATTGGAGGGTTCAATTCTAAGCATTCCAGCATTCCAAAAAGTTTCAATTGAAACATTAAGAAATAACAAAGGCTTGTGTGGTAGCGTCTCTGGCCTTATGCCTTGCTCAACATCAAGTGGAAAGGTTCATGGTCATAAGCCTAACAAACTTTTGGATGTTATTAGCATCATTTGCTTATGGGCTCGCATATCATCTCAATCAAACTTCAAGCAAAAAAGAATTCAAGGATGTAGACGAATCGCATGCTAAAATTATATTTGCAATTTGGAGTCATGATGGAAAATGGTGTATGAGAACATTATTCAAGCAACAGAAGAGTTTCACAACAAGCGTCTCATTGGGGTTGGAGGGCATGGAAGTGTTTAAAAAGCAGAGTTGACTACAGGTCAAGTCGTAGCTGTGAAGAAATTTCATCCAAAACAAAATGAAGAAATATCAAATCTAAAAGAATTTGCTAGTGAGATTCGCGCTTTGGCAGTGTTGGCTGGGATATTCGAGAGTTCAACCAAAAGAAAAGGATCAAAAGGGTTTTATTAGAAAACAATATTTTATAAGTCATTAGGCCTAAAAACGTCAAAAGGGTCCAAAAGATCCATCAAGCAAGCGAAGCATTTTGGAGGGAAACTTGGAGAATGTGGGTTCGAGAGTATGAATCGAGAACGTGGGATCATGGAGAGGAGTTACAAGATGCACATGGCGTACGAAGAACCGAAGTCTGCTAGAAAGTAGTTATTTTTGTGTATTATAAATAAAGTACTTAGTGCATAGTGTCAAAGGCTCAAACTTTCACATTCCTATACGCTAGTCACTCAGAGTACCCAAACGAACGAGCGAAATGAGTCAAGTTAGGGCAATGTACGTTTGAATCAACTTATTTTCAACTATTTTGATGTTATGTCATTTATATTTACAGTTTAAAACGCCTTTTATTTTATTTTACAAGTCTTGCTTTATCATTTATAAACTCGTTTGACACTGAACATACTTTATGAAAACACTCGAAAATTGAAGCGCTGTACCTGTGTAGGGCTGTTTCAGGATGAGTCCGTATTGGACTGCACCTAGAGATATATGAGAAGAAACCCATGTAAGATTGTTTGTCTGGTCGTGTAGATAGTTTCCCTGTCTGGTTTCAGGTATTAATCTACAAATCAGTTGTTCGCAGATAGTTGTACTGTCTGGTTTCAGGTATTAATCTGAAATTTGAAAATTGCCGATCACTGAGATAATTTTCCTGGCTCGTTACAGGTATTAATCTCTGACCTTATAAAGAAAGATAGTTTTTTGGCTTGTTACAGATATTAATCTTCAATCTCTTTATGTAGATAGTTCTCCTGGCTGATTACAGGTGTTAATCCATAGTTGGTCGTCCGTATATAGTTCTCCTGGATGGTTTCAGGTATTAATCTGAAACTTGAAAATTATCGGTCGCTGAGATAGTTGTCCTGGTGGTTACATGTATTAATCAATGATCACTTCATGGAGATAGCTTGCCTGACTTGTTACAGGTATTAATCTACAGTCAGTCGTCCACAGATAGTTGTCCTGACTGGTTACAGGTATTAATCTCGAACTTGTTTTTGTCGGTCATTGAGATAGTTGTCCTGACTCGTTACAGGTATTAATCTCTGACCTGAGAAAGAAAGATAGGTTTCCTGGCTTGTTACAGGTATTAATCTTCAATCTCTTTATGTAGATAGTTCTCATGGCTTGTTACAGATATTAATTTACAGTCGGTCGTCCACAAATAGTTGTCTTGGCTGGTTACAGGTATTAATCTGGAACTTGTTTTTGTCGGTTGTTGAGATAGTTGTCCTGACTCGTTACAGGTATTAATCTCTGACCTAAGAAAGAAAGATAGTTTTTCTGGCTTGTTACAGGTATTAATCTTCAATTTCTTTATGTAGATGGTTCTCCTGGCTAGTTACAGGTGTTAATCAACAGTTGGTCATCCATAGATAGTTCTCCTGACTGGTTTCAGGTATTAATATGGAACTTGAAAATTATTGGTCGCCGAGATAGTTGTCCTGACTTGTTATAGGTATTAATCTCTGACCTGAGAAAGAAAGATAGTTTTACTGGCTTGTTACAAGTATTAATCTTCAATCTCTTTATGTAGATAGTTCTCCTGTCTTGTTACAGGTATTAATCTACAGTCAGTCATCAACGGGTGGTTCTCCTGGTTTATTATAGGTGTTAATTTGGGACTTGTTTTGTTGGTCACATAGATAATTTCCCCGTCCGGTTTTGGGCATTAATATGTGGCCTGTTGTTATTATTGGTAACCCGTCTTGCTTCCGGAGTTCATACCAATTGGTCGTGTAGATAGTTTCCCCGTCTGTTTTTGGGCATTAATCTTTGACTTGCTGTATAGGTTGATGGTGTTCGTCTGTCTGCGAATTCAACCTGAAAAGGTAAAGTCAGTTTCATGCGATGTTGTGAAGTATGAATTGCATGATGTTCTCAAAATAAATGAGATTGTGATATATGCATTTGTGTTGCATATGCTATGATGTTTGTAAAATGACGTATGAATGCAATGTATAAACGTGTCGGTCATTCCATTGTTGTATTGTTTAATTAGGGAAAATAAATCCCTTATTGTTGATGGGTGTGAAGATTGTAGGTCTTCAAATTTGTTGAAGTTAAAACACTGGGAGATGAACTTCCGTTTTTAGAGAAATAAACTCTGTTGGGGAAGGTAAACTTCGTGAACTGCTTGGGGATTTTGTTGAAATCCTGTTGGGAGTCTTGAGAAACTTTGGCCACTTCATAGGGGGATGTTTAGGTGTTGGAGCAGTAATTGGAGATTCTTGCTCTATCGAGGGTATGAAAATACCTGACATCAATAGGATGCACGCTGAGAATATGGCGGTGACCTTGTAGCAGGATGCCTCTGCCTCTGTACCTACTGGAGAAGGTATTTGTTGGGATTTTATGGATGGTTTGAGTGTCATCCCAACTCCTAGGGTTTTAAGTAGATGTTGATCAGGGAGTATTCTATTGTTAGACAAATGACAGGATGACGGGACATAGTCGTACACTTTAATACCTAACTTTTGTCTGGACTGCCCTTTCAGATTTTCAATCCACCGGGATACCCTTTTTTTCCCAAGCCGCCTTTTCAGGTTTTCAACTTTTCGGGTGTATAGTTTTATTTATATATCCCTAATTTTTTCCCGAACTCTTTTGGTTCGCCGGTATCCCCTTAATTTTTCCTAGGACAGTCAACCTAGCGGGTCTTTGTTCATGCGTAGTATTTTCCGACTATGTCCATGTTTATCGGGTACGGAGAATTGTCACTGTCCATATTAGTAAGTGTTGCCACACTATTGGCAGATGTTTGTCTGATCGTACAAGATTCGCTGCTGGAATTCATGTCCAATGCCTCAAATGATTCAGATGGAGATTTATCCCTGACTATTCGGCATTTTGGAGAGATTCCTTGAACCTTAACTTGACTGCCCCAGATCAGTTGAACACCATGCTATACCCCCTTGATTATGAAAGGCCTATCACTGGAATGTCCTTCCATCTGAGGTGATTCTGTCCACTGAGAGGATTTCTGTTCATCGAATATCCATCGTGCAAATTTCTCTGCTGTTGAATAAATTGTCATATGCAAACAATGGTATTTTAAGAATAAAAAGCTTATGTCTGTCTTGAAGTTTGAAAATTCATTTTTTAGTAAAACAAACAAATTTGTAAGAGTGTGATATCAACTCAGGATTTATAGCAAACCTTACAGGAGTCAGGATACTTTTCATAACAATATGCTTTAGAACTAACCCATGCTTCAGCTAGGACTTTTAAGGGTTGTAATATGGTCTGGTTCACGGTTTAAGAAACAAAAGATAAAGGCTCAAATTTTATTTGTACCCAACCCGTTCTTCGTGATGTTCTCCAATCCTATGCTAAGCTAATTGTGCATTTAGATCCCAATTGAGTCTGGGATCTTTGCCCTGATACTTCGTGATGGTTCAAAAATTGAACGTTTGTTTGAGAAGACAGTCATTTTTGTAACCTTTTCTTTTTTTGTTGAGGATTTGTAGGACCTCTTTTTTTATTTTGTTCTCCCTCATTTTGCCTGAATTGTTTCTTTTGTGTTTACAGTCAGCGAAATGCCCCCGTTTTTTTTAAGTCCCCTTCATAGGTTTTGACTTAGCGGGATTTTCTTTTGAAAGATAATGACTGTCTGTCTTGACGATTATGCGGAACCATCACCATCTTTTGGAAGGCATCCTCTACACTATTTTTCGTGTATGAATGATGAGTTTGCGACTGAACTCACCTCTGAATTATCTGAGAAAGCTACCCTGCCCCAGGTTATGATTAAAGGTTTTAATTTGTGTGAAAAGAAAAACTCCTACTTCTTAGGATCAAAGGGGTTGACTAGGGATTATCTTCCTTATAACTCCACTGTTTAGGGTTTGAAACAACGCATGTACATCGTCAATGGGGTCTGTTCAAAAGCATAATGTAGAGAATGTGGTATCGTTTTCGTCATCCTACCTCTAAAGGCTTAGAGCTTTTAATCAAGAGTTAAATATCACGAAAGGAAGTAAAAACACATTTTGAATATAGTGGATACAAATGAAATAATTCAAAACGAACATATGTAATGCATTGATGAAATAACAAAGTTTGACATAAATGAGTGTTCGAACAATCAAAAGAAAATTACAGATTGATAAATTAAATGAACAAGAAGCCTCTTCGTCTGAACTTGTCACTTTATATGGTGTGCCTTGGAGAGATGACAGAAGAATTCAGCTTGACCATCTTGTGTAAACTTCAGCACTCCTTTATCGATCAGGTCTTGAATCTTATTTCTCAGCATCCAACAGCTATTAGTGTCATGTCCAGTATTGTTGGAGTGGTATGCATACCTCGCATTTGGATTGTACATTTGTTGGCTGAAGATTTTGATAATATTATTAGAAGCCAAGCGAATTGAACGTTTCGATCGAAATGAAACAAAGCGTCATGTTTCGAAGTAGCAGAAGCAGTGTTTCGAATAAGCATATCAAAGCTTGAAGCTTCGAGTGGCAATTATGGGAACATATCTAAAGAAGTCTCGAAATAACAACAAGGCTGTGTCTGAGAAGTGCGTTCGAAACGGAGAAGTACCAAAGCATTTGAAATTCAAATGGAAGCGGGACATTCGAAGTTTGAAATTTATGTGCGGAGCATTTGGAGACACGTGGAAAGAAGAGAGAGGCATTGTTCTGCATGTTCTGAACGTGGCA